AACCATGCTAGGTGAATAGTCAAAGTAAAATAGTAAACAATCTTTGAGAAGAATAATCAAGGAAGAAACAGTGCACCATACGTATATGTGATATGATTAATATACTACTACTATGATTATGGGGGTAGCCCCATGTGGTTATACAAAATAGTTTTGCCGTTATATACGGGTATGATACAGACTCCAAATGGACTGGGTCCATATGTAATCTGGTGTGTACTGGGTACACGTTGACTGTTATATACAGATGTATTATGAATATAAATTCCTCTGTGCACTGGGTGCATGTTGTACGGCGTGAGATTATGGATATCTCTGTGTGGCTTATGTGCCAGAGTGTATGGTTATCTCCGTGTGGATTATGTTCCCGGAGACTATTATTATCTTATATGAGTAATGTGAGACGAGGAAGTGTTCCGCATTGATGTGACTATTAGTACAGGAGAGAGGTTTGATATAAATGCACAAAGAAGAAACGTTGTAGGGATTCTCCTAGCACAGGGCCAGCTGGGGGTAGGTTATCATTACTGCATGGATCATATGGGTGGATTCTCTGATCGGTGGGTCATTACATCTGGGGCCCTTAGGACAGGAAGAGCTCGAGGGGTTAAACCTGGGAATGTTTTTACCCACTGTATTGGGAGAGTTTTGCCATGTGATTATCGTAAGATGTGAGGTTATATACTTGTAAGTGGACAATAATATGTCAAAGTTGGATGTAAGATGTGAGGTGTAGGGAGTAAGAGTTTCGAAGTGTGATATGGAAGCGCACTATTGTGTGTGTAAAGTAAGTCTGATGAAATAATTTTTGGCTCTAAGTGAGGTAGTAAGTTTGTTGGAATTCTCGCCTTATGATGAAAGAGATAATAACGTGATTAATGTTGACAAAGTGAGTAAGTGTTCTTCTAGGAAGGCTAGTGATGATCAAGAGTTCAAGTAAAATGGTGACTTATTAGCCTTAATAAAAGGTAAATGGTAATAGAGTCAAGTATGAATGGGTAAAAATAGCTGGAAACAGGAGTTGTAATTGGTTACCTAAAAGTTGATAGCTTGGCTTACTGGTAGAGTAGATTGAGGAGTGATATATATAATCGCATATGCCACTTGTGGTGGAAAGTGTGTGGAAAATGCATAATGTTGGGGTTGTTTTGGTTAGGTACTAATGATGTATAGTCGAGTGCTTGTGGTAACTTTGAATATTCCGAGAGATTGGTATACCAACCGATGGTGAATTGTAGAAGTAATGGCAATGATGGATTTAGTTTCATGTGACCCGAAATTAAGTTTCAAAAATTCCTATAGGATGGGACTTGTATGTGAGAGATATGGCATTTTCGAATGGTCCATCAGGTAATACCGAAATAGGTTTGGAAATTGATTCGCCAATGTGTTTGGTGGAAGTTAGTAAAGTTGTAAGGTAATAGTGTTTTGAGTTTGACGTCCATGATTAAATGACGATGATTACGAAAAAGTGGTATAAATAAGTGGAACGTATGGTTAAATCGCAACGTCGGGATTGAATGAAAAGTTAAAAATAGTTAGCTGGTGAAAATATGAAGCATGAGACCTTGATGTGGAGGTCATTGATGAGTGTTGTGTTTAGACTATGAGAGGGCTAAGTTTATGGAATGGAGCTGGCTGAGTTGATAAAGTTGAGATGGTTAAGTTAATAAAGAGATTAACAATGAGTGTAAATTATAAATATGATTTTGTAGATGGAAATATTCATGAGTGGGTTTGTGGTTAAAGGACTTAAATGGCTAATCGGAAATATAAACTATTGTGAGGATTGTTAGTTTCGCATCACAAAGAGAAAGATATGGTGGTGAGTACCTAAGAAAAGGTGAAGACACGTGACAAGGAAAAATAAAGTATATAAGTATAGAAATTAATGCGAGTCGAAATTATAGGATACGACAAAGTGCCATTGAAACTAGAAAGTATGTGCTTGGGTGAAAGCTAGGAAAACAACGAAATGATAAGAGTAGTAATAGTAATGGAAAGGACTGGCATGTTTGGGGTATTGTCAAAACAGTAAGGACAGCGATAGAACTTAAGTACTAAAGAAAGTGTGAGTTGGAAATATTCCAGGAATAACCAGTAAGTATACATGAGAACGGTTAGATCCTATTATGAAAACGGTTAGAGGTTTTTGAGAAAGACCATGGGTCAGAAATATAGATAGAGATGATAATGAGGTGAAGTGATACAGACCAATTTGTAATATGGTTATATTATTACCTACAAATTAGCGAAAGTGCAACTATGAACCAGAGGAAGTTTAAAGTATTGTGAATTAAAAGGTCACAAAACCATAATAGACGAGTATTTGTGAAGGTTCGAGGAATAATAAGTATCACAAAAAGGAGATTATGCCTGTGATAAAAGTAAAATGGTAAAGATACACACCTGAGGAGGCTACTTGGGAACGGGAGAATGAGATTCTCCAGCTGTATCCTGAGTTAGCGGACAAGTGTGAGTTAATTTTGCGGACAAAATTCTAAAAGGGCTTTAGGCCTATTTTAGGATCATGAATCATGTGTAATATGATAAAAGGGCTTTAGGCCTATTTTAGGATCATGATTAATTGTGTATTGAGAAATTTGCATGTAAATAGACTTGGGTGATTGAAACAAGTTAAAGGTTTATAAAGTGAGCCATATATTATGAATTGTGTATTAACTATACCCTGAGTTGGGTTGTAAGTGCCCCAAGGCATTGTTGGTCCTTGTGTGTGTCACCCATTGGTTATTAGGTACATTTGAGATACTAGAAAGCTTATGTAAATTTGGGGATTTTAGGAAAAACAAAGGAAACTCTGGCGAATTTTCTGTAGAATTGGCAGAATTTAGGCAAACTCCGAGAGAGCATATCTCCCTCTACAAAAGTCTGATAGGGACGTTCCATACACAATTTTTAAGCTTGCGATGTCCCCTACATTGTGTCAAAATCTGAGAATATGTTGGGTTGCACGCAGCCCTGTAGAATTCTGGGAACACGGACTGTCCAGAACGCTCCTATGCAGGGGCTGTTTCTGGCAGTTTTTGGGAATTTTATTCCTGCTTCATTTCTCAATCAAATTAAGAGTATGATATATCAAATTGAAGTTTGAGGTGTCTAGTTTGTGGTGTAAAAATTTTAGAGCAATTGGATGGGTGGATTTTCTGCATTAATTCATGGAGTGAGGGATGTTAGTGCCGTTTTGGAGTTGGTTGGCAGTTTTGCTTGTCCAACTTCAAACGGCGATATCCGCAGCAAAAGAGATCGAAATCACTCGTGTGGTGGCTCATTAGAAAGGTAATTAAGTCCCGTAAAAGATACTAAAAGATGAGATGAACAAGAAGAAAATTGAGAGAGTATAAATGAATATACCGAACCATGTTCGGAATGGTAGAAAACGTAAAATTGAAAATTTGGTTAAGTGGGTTTATGGGAACCCCTTAATGACTTGTATGAAGTAAAATAAGATATAAAAATAGTTTAAATAAGTATTCCCCCAGATTTTACAGTTATGGTCACAACTTTTAATTATTACGCTTTTTATTGTTTTAAATGCTCGCGTAATAATCGGAAAAAGTTTATTCGCATTTTTATAATTGAATTACTGTGATTGTAACTGCGCTTAATATCATAATTAATGTTAACAATACCGGTGTACAACGGGCTGTTACAGATGTCGACTTTAAATTCTTGAAGGAGTAGCATCCATCTGAGCAGTCTTGGTTTTGCATCTTGTTTATTCAACAGATACTTTAAAGCAGCATGGTCAGTGTAAACAATTACTTTAGACCCCAACAAATATGGTCTAAATTTATCAAAAGCGTAGATAACTGCTAATAACTCTTTTTCAGTGGTTGCATAATTCATTTGTGCATCATTAAAAATTTTATTAGCATAATAAATCACATGCAACAATTTATTCTTTCTTTGTCCTAAGACAGCTCCTATAGCATAATCACTAGCATCACACATTAATTCAAAAGGTAGTGTAAAATCAGGTGCGGTGATTATAGGTGCAGTGGTCAATCGATCTTTTAAAATATTAAATGCTAACAAACATTCATCAGTGAAGTTGAATTCCTCATCCTTGACCAACAGCTTGCATAGTGGCTTTGCTATCTTGGAAAAATCTTTGATAAAGCGCCTGTAAAAACCTGCAAGACCGAGAAAACTTCGAATGACTTTAACGTTAGAGGGAGGGGGAAGTTTCTCAATAACAGATATCTTAGCTCTATCAACTTCTATACCTTTTTTGGACACTTTGTGTCCTAAAACTATGCCATCTTTTACCATGAAGTGGCATTTTTCCCAATTCAAAACAAGATTACTCTCTTGAGATCTTTGTAAAACACAAGATAAATTTTCTAAACAAATGTCAAAAGAGGGGCCAAAAACAGAAAAATCGTCCATAAAGATCTCAATAGATTTTTCAATCATATCAGAAAATATGGAAAGCATGCACCTTTGAAATGTAGCTGGAGCGTTGCACAGGCCGAAGGGAATCCTCCGGTAAGCAAAGACTCCGTAAGGTCATGTAAATGTTGTCTTCTCTTGATCTTCTGGAGCTACTGCTATTTGGTTATAGCCTGAGTACCCATCCAAGAAGTAGTAGAAGGCATGGCCAGCTAGTCTCTCCAACATCTGGTCCAAGAAAGGAATTGGGAAGTGGTCTTTCCGAGTGGCTGCATTTAGTCTTCTATAGTCAACACATATCCTCCACTGGTGACTGTCCTTGTTGGAATCAACTCGTTGTTCTCATTTCTTACCACAGTGACTCCTCCTTTCTTAGGTACCGTTTGTATAGGACTTACCTATGCACTGTCGGATATAGGGTAGATCATCCCTGCATCCAATAGTTTAACTACTTCCTTCCTTACCACTTCTTTCATGGTTGGATTGAGTCTCCTTTGTGGCTGCCGTATAGGTTTAGTATCATCTTCCATTAGAATTTTATGAGTACAAAAGGAAGGATATATACCTTTTAGGTCGGAGAAGGACCATCATATGGCAGCTTTGTGTTTCTTTAACACTTTGAGAAGATTTTCTTCTTCACTAGTTGACAGTTCAACATTGATGATTACTGGACATGTGTTGTTGTCACCAAGGAAGACATATTTCAGATTTGGAGGGAACTCCATAAGCTCCACCTTCGGTGCTCCAAGAGGGGTGTCATCTTTCTTTCTTTGTAGTCCTTCCACCACTGGTTCTTTGTCTGCTATTTCAGCTTTTTCACTGATTTGTTCTAACTCGAGCCCTTTCCTCTTTCATAGTATCATCAATTTCTTCTTATGTTATGTCAATCATAAAACAGTCTCCTCCGTCTGATGGATGTTTCATTGATTCAAAGACATCAATGGTGACTGTTTCTTTGTTCATTCTCAGCATCACTTTTTCTTGCTCCACATCGATCATTGCTCTTGTGGTGGCTAAAAATGGCCTTCCAAGTAGTAGGGGAATCTCGGCATCTTCTTCCATATTCAAAATTACAAAATCTGCAGGGAAGATAAATTTGTCAATTTTTACTAACACATCCTCAATTACCCCATCTGGTCGTCTGATCAATCTGTCGGCTAACTGGAGAGAAACTGTAGTCGGCTTTAGCTCTTTGATTCCAAGAGCTTTGCACATGGATACCGGCATCAGGTTTATACTTGCTCCCATATCACATAGTGCTTTTCCTACTTCAATATTTCCTATGGCTATAGGAATACTGAAGCTGCCTGGATCTTTCAGCTTGGGAGGAAGTTTCTTCTGGATGATTGTGCTGCATTCTTCTGTTAGGGCCACTGTTTCGCACTCCTTCAGCTTGTATTTCTTTGACAGAAGGTCTTTCATGAATTTCGCATAGTTCGGCATGCTTTCTAGGGCTTCTGCAAATGGAATGTTCACTTGCAGCTTCTTGAAGATATCCAGAAATTTAGTGTATTGTTGTTTCTGGATTTCTTGCTTCAACCGCTGGGGGTATGGAACACGTGCATAGGGAGATGGATCTGCCGGTTTTAGTTGCCGGTCTAGAGCTTTCTTTTTCTCCCATTTGAATAGCTTTTTCTCTGGACTGCTATTTTCAGTTTCTTCTGCATCTTCTTCTTTCTCCTTTTCAGCTACAGGTTCTGCTTTTTCCTTCTTCTCCACTAGTGGCTTTTCCACAGGTTGGATCCCGATCCCACTTCTAGTAACAATTGAATTACATTGAGCATTTGGGTTTGTATCTGTGTTACTTGGGAAGGTGCCATGGGTTCTTTCAGCACATTGTCTTGACAGCTGACCAATTTGAGTCTGCAAGTTCCGGATCGAAGCTTCTTGATTCCGGAATGATGCTCGTGTTTCATCTCTAAAGGCATCTGCATTTTGAATGTAGTCTGATGTGCTCTTGGACAGCTGTGCAAAAGCCTTTTCCCATTCTGAAGTGGTGCCTTGAGGTGGAGGTTGTTGTTGCAATGGCAACAGAGGGTTCAGTTGATAGTTAGACTTGTAACTAAACCCAGGGTGTTGGTTAGGATTTTTCCACCCTTGATTACCATATTGATTTCTTCCTGGATTTTTCTGGTTCTTTTGATCGTACTAGATTCCATTGACCTCTGTTGGTGGCTTTTCAGTTGTTCTCATATAGTCACAATCTTCAGTCGCATGAGCTTCTGCACAAATACCACATTTAATTTGAGAATTACTAACAGAAGAAACTTGAGAAATATTAAATTGTTTAGTAAGGGCATCTAATTGTTCTTGTTGTTTCTTGTGCATTTGCAGCATTTGTTCATTTTGGGCTAATCGTCGAGCTTCATAATTCCTGCTCTCCTTTGTGCAACTGGGGCATTGTCATATTCTTAAGAAGCTAAAGATTCCAACAAGTCTAGCGCTTCCTCTGGAGTTTTTGTTTTCAAGGAGCCTCCTGCAGCAGCATTTACCAGTGTTCTTGTGTTGGATGTCATCCCTTGGAATAAGATTCTTGCTTTCTCCCATGCTTCAATTCCATGTTGAGGACACTTCCTGAGTAATCCCTTAAATAGCTCCCAAGCCTCATACAGAGATTCGCTTCCTTTTTGTTCAAAAGAGGTGATTTTTGATTTGAATCTTGCCATCTTTGAAGCTGAGAAAAATCTGGCTAAGAATTTTCTTGCTAAATCATCCCAACTGGTTATGCTTCCTTCAGGTTGAGACTGCAGCCAAGATTTTGCATCATCCTTCGGTGAGCATGGAAATAGTCTGAGCAAGATAGCGTCACAAGAAACTTCATTCACTTTTAATGTATCACAGTAAAATAGGAAATCATCAAGATGATTATAGGGGTTCTCTGTGCTTCCTCCAGCGAACTGTTCTTTTTGAATCAGTTGTAGCAGCGCCGGCTTCAGCTCGAAGTTTTTAGCTTCTATGGTCGGTCTAACAATGCTCGCCGTCTGTGGAACTCGGGCTGGAGTCATATAATCCCCCAAGGTCCTTGGAGCGAGTTGATTGTTTTCTGCCATTGGTTCCTCCTTAGGTTCCGATGAACTTGAGGTTTCTTTTGCTTCCTTTGCCTTTGCGTCCTTTCTAAGTTTCCTTTCGGTCTTTTCTATCTCAGGATCAAAATGCAAGATTTGCGGGTTAAGAGTACCTCGCATAAACTTAGGATCGAAAAGATGAGCAGA